GTAGCAGAGGAAAAGTAAAACTAATATATTACTTCTGGTTTCTTAATACCAGAATGCCAGGAATCTCTTTATTACCACAATAGAGACAAATGATATGTCTAGCAGAGGTTTTGGAGAATGGGCCTGGTAATGCATTCAGCACTTTCTGAATTGAAAGGTCTGTCCTGAATGGGAAGTAGTACAATGCATAGTTAAAGCCTTCATAGCACATATTCTAGGTCTGTTCCTATTACCACTGTATTCTGCAGATAAGAATACAAAAAAATACATGCAACTGATGAAATAAAAAATTATTTATAAATAATTACTCTGTGGTTCCAACAAGTTTCTTGATAAAATACTGATGCTGACTGCAAAAGAGAACAAAATTAATTCTGAAATATACATAAGTTTGTGAATTCTCATTTCTTTTGATAACTTGTGTAAATAACATGAAAGGTTTATTGACATATCCTTTACTTTATAAGGTTTTTCAGAAACTGATTTGGCTAAGAAAATAGCGTGGTTAAAGTTTAGCTGTTTTATCAGGGTTGCTGTAACTATGCATAATTTTAATATCTTTTATTTTTTAGACACAAATGAAGGTCATAGTCCATTTATCCAGCCTAAAACCCATTCTGGCTTTTTCAGATATTCTACTGAATTAAGAATGTTTAAAAAAAGCAATTGTAAAATTGTACTGAAATGACCTGTGATGTCTGCTAAGAATTCAATCCCACGTGACACCTATAATAGTTCACTGCAAGGTACGATAGTTAACTGTTTTAATAATTATGAAAATTATAGTTTGACTGACCTAAATTTTCCTTATTAATACTTTGAGTCTGTTAGACTGCATTACATTTCACTCCACTCAGGCTTATGACTGATAAAATAACGCTACATATATTTAATACTAGATTCTGTCTGAATAGTAATTTATGACACCGTCCTTGGTCTGGGGCAGACCCTGAGTGGTGCTGGCATTTCCCCCCAGCACGATGCTCAGTAATCTCCTTAGCAAAGAGCAGAAGCGAAGCTCATTCACTCCTGTAGCGTCGCGAAGCCCCTTCTCAGTCCATACTCTCTTGTGCTGCTGTTTACGTACAGACTCCATCAGGCTTTGAGTCCATCCCCATTGCCATGCCCCTTTGCTAGCAACTTCTCTGCGTGATATGTACCCCACCATTTACCTCTATTGTTGTGGAATTAATTCACCTGTGTTGAGTTTCTGGCCATGGGTTGTATCTAATGATGTTTGTACAATTTCTACCACAAAGTTCTGTTTCTGGTTGTGGTAGTACTGTAATAGAAGTAATAACACATAAAATGCTTCTACCACCACCTCCAGCATCTTTTATATCTACAAATCAAGCACAGGCAATATTTGCCCATCATGATCTAAAGTGATATAAGGCTTAATTTAGCACTAGTTTGACCCAAAGTTTTAGCCACAGATTAAGTAAATATCTTCAGGAACAAAGGCCTGAGATTTTTGGCCATCTTGAATAAACATCAGAAGAATTTGCCCTATAAAATATTCAGGTACTTCTATTACTTAATTTTGGATAGCAGGGGTATACGTAAGTTTATCCTCCATGCTCAGATGAAGTTCTCACATGGGAGTTTGCTGGGCTTCTATATCTAGACATTTTATGCCAGGCAGCTGCAGTTTTTACTCTTGGGGATGTATCCAGGCAAATTCAATATGATCAGTGAGGTAGACTGTCATAAGTGGTGACAGCATTTGATTTCACTGAGCTTGTCAAGAATAATTTTACCTGTAATTTGTTCATTGCATATTAGATCCTCTGGTGTATCACCACTGTTCTTGCAGCTGCAAACTTTACCTAGTTCAGGGAAGTGTATATTACCAATAAATGTTTGCTCTGAAGAAAAGCAGTGAATTTCTGGGAATGAGGAGGGTGATACATTTTATTAAAGGAAAAATATTTTCTGGTCTTACTTATTGTTTGTGCATTAAGGCACATGTAGTTGTGTTTAACATCCTCTTTCCCTTCAAATTTTCCATGACTCTTGATCCTTAATGATTACTGAAGAAATATAGTCAATCAATAGGATCAGAAGTTACAGAATTATACATGGGAAGAATCTAGCCTCAGATCTTTATTTAAAAAGGAAATTAATCTTTTATTTCTGTTCCTGTAAGAAGAAAAAAGCAAAATAATCTTAATGAGTTGCTACTACTGCAAACAACTTTTTCCCTGGGGTACATACCCAAGGACAAACTTGGTTCTAGTTATTAGCAATATATTCCTCCAGGAATCAAAGGCAAAATCCAACCATCTCTATTGGAAGGGCTAAGTCTTTCTCTTTTCATGTGAATTTTTTATATAATTCAAATAACCCTTAAATGCATTTTCAAGTACTGCTAATGAGACAGCTTTAAAAATTATTTCCCCAGAGCTGTTAATCATAATAATTCCGATAATGTCCATTTTTTTTTAATCTTGACTCAGTCCCACCTATTAGATGGCAAGTCTAGGTATCAAAGTCCAAATTCGGCTCACTTCATTGTTTATATAATGTTTTCTCCAAAAAGGGAAAGCAGATGCCACCCGCAGGACAAATACAGCTCACAGTTATCATTTGCAGCAACCTCAGTATTAAATCAATACACAAAAGGTAAGTGCCACAACAATGTACTGTCAACCTGAGTTGCAGGTGTGTGGGCCCCGTATGAAAGCTAATGAGAAATGAGGATATTGTGTCCTCCCCAGCATGTGTTTGGCATTCTGGCTGGTCAGAGTTTGCATACCTGTTCTCCTTGAATCATCAGACTAAAAAAGAAAGTGAGAGACTAATGTACTAAAAATGAGCTAGAAACATTCTGTTGAAAGGAGGATTTGGCAAACTGCACTTATGTAAGTAAATAGAAATACTAAAAATAGGCAAAACACCCTCTCAAATCTAATAAATGACCTGTTATCCACAGGTTTAGGTCCAATATCTTTTGACAAATTAACAGTACTTTTATGCTAAAATGATCATAATGATATATTGTACTTTTCTACTCTACTGACCATGGCACAGAAGTTCAGTAGAGAAGTTTCATTGATGATTATTATTAGAAAGTCATTCTGTAGACATTTAAATTCCATTTTTAAGGGCATATAACAGAATTCCCTAGTGTGTCACAATTCCAGCACCATATTGATGGTAAAAGTCCAGGAAAATGGTGTTTATGACTTGTACTCTATAAATGCCTATCAGTGCCTGTCACGTGGAGCTGGGCTGCTGGGTTTGTGTGAGGTTGGGGGAGATCTCTGGTGCTGCAACGCGTTGGGTCTCACCAGCTGCCGACGGGACAGCTCAGGCCCCTCTCGCCCCGCGCTCCCCGGCTGCCGCCAGCAGCTTGCGCTTTTGGTACATCGTGGGCACACTGCTCGGTGACCCCACGTACTGGATGTGGCTTGCCAAGGCGATTTGTGACTCATGGTTTCTCACTAACTGCAGCTGACAGCCAGAAATGGGTGAGAGCGGGGAAGTGCCTCCCACGCCGCGCAGCTCCTGGCTGGAGACCATGGTGGGTTTTCTTGCTGTGTCCTCCCACATCCATGTTCTCCAGGCACCTCTGGTCTCCTAATCAACTGCCAGTTTAAAACTTTAGGCCCTAATTAGCTTCCAGGGACACATCAATGAAAAGCTATGATGTGGGTTTATAGTGGGCAACAAGTATTGCTGTTCCTTCAGAGCAAAATTTGTCCTCTGCTAGTTTTTTCCATCCAATCCTAAGGGAGGGAAAGTGGCAGTACTGGTGCTGAGGGATCCCCAGTTAGGGCTAAGTCCCATGGGGCCTGCGTTCAGCTCCTCTGCCTCTGTGGCAGGGCAGCCTGGCCATGAGGAAGGGGCCAGTGGGCTGCTGACCCTGCTGTACCGCTGCAGGGTGCCCCAGGCACCACAGTTCCCAGCCCTGCTCCAGAGTAATGCTCTTTCACTGCCTCTTACCAGGTTTTTCCAATCCCCCACTAAGTGCATCCCTAACCCTACATTAGATCCTCATCTCTGCTCTGCCTGTTTTCTGTGTGCTTTCTCTTTCCTTACAGTGCTCCCCAAGCTTCTCGCCTCCTGTCCATGTATATTCCGGGATGCTTCTTTATGCCTAGCTTCCTACTTCGTACCTGAGAAGAGGGTGTTGTAGCTGTCTGCTGCTGTGATTTGAAACCCGGCTGACACTGATTCCCTAAAGTAATTCTGCCTGCCTGACATTTCTGGTTTTGTCTGGGGCTTTTCTGGTATTCGTCTCTTGTTTATCCCAAACTAATTGTATTTTGCCACTCAGATTGCAGAACCTAGTTTTGTATCTGTTAAGATGAACCTGCAATGCAGTTTATGGGGAAAAAGCACCTTTAGAAAGTCTGTGTGACCTGGACAGATATCAAGTATGTGAGAGGTGGAAGCGCTGCATTGCAGCAAGAGGGTGGATTAGGATTATAATGAATATAAAACTTTCATAAATCAGAATTGCTTCAACATTACTATTTAAAATAATGGATTAATTATTCCAGTGACATTGTGCTATGTGTCCCTGTGCTAACAGGGCTTTTATTTCTTCCCTCTGGAGTGAGGAAACAAAGTGGTTGCTTAAATCACTATTGACATACAGCACATGAATTCCAGTTTTGATTTTATGAACAGCCTCTATCATCATGTCTCATGTGGACTGCCTCATACTCATTGTACTGTGGGCTTAGACACACTGTCACCATCCCTATAAATAGCCTGCTTGGTTATGAAGGACTATTAGTGTTTCCTCTGGGAAGAATAGGACTTTTGATTAATGGCATTTTAGTCCAGTTTTCTTTAAACTTTTTAGTGGAGATAGGCGTTAGAGAGTAGAAAACCTGCTAAAGAAAGCCAATAATCAAGGTATTAATGTTTGAAACACAGACACCCAGTGAACCTGGAGAATTTGCAGAGAAAACCTATGTTAGAAGGAGCAGGATGGTGGTGTGCTTTTAAAAAAGGAGGCTTGGCTTCAGGGCTGGCAAGGAGCAAGGCAGCTGCCATGCGGAGAAGGAGAAGCTCCCTGTGACCCAGCAGAAAACTGAACTGTGGTGCAAGGACGCCTGCAATGTCGAAAAGTCTGCTCTACACCAGAAAATTCTCAAGTGTACTGGAGAACGGCAGGTAAGGTGACGTGTTTTTCTGTATATTTTTGGAGCAAAGCAGGAAGTAATTGTGTGTAGAAAACCTTGTATTTCAGCTATCGGCTGTTTGGCTGCTAGTGTGATCTTTTGAGCATTGAGACCATCTACAGGTAAACACCCTCAAGGTCAGTTCAGTAGAGATGGATGTTTTTAAGCTTGTGGAGGGAGTGGGGATTCCCTGGTTCTAAAGATATAGGTCATTTGGGCTGTGTGACCACTGTTCTGTGAGAAAATTCCCTGGAGACACCAAACAGAGCACATGTCCTGCTGGCCAAGCAGTGAGGGAGGTTTTATCACACACAATGCGATAGGTCAAACATAGCACAGCATTGAATGACAACTAACAAGGTTTGGTGGGCGTCTTCTCCTGACTGTTAAAAGTAACAAATGTGAAGGTATTTGGGGGTTTTCCTTACAATTAGCAACTGATCTGGAATTCAGACCCCACCTTCCACAGCCTGGGAAATTTCCAAGAGCACCATTGAATCGCCAGCAGCGCCCTTTGTTCAAACAGTGAGTCTGTACCCAAGAAGATTGCCCTACCGAGAGAAAAGGAATAGGACATTACATTTAGAGATGTGACTAACTTCTTCTGAACAGGGAGGAAGGCACCGCACTTGCCAGTTATCTCTTCTGTGTGTTTCCTCAGTTGTGGCTGGGGCCATCTGATGAGTGTTTCCCTTTCACTCCCAGCACAGCGCAGTCTGTCTGCTGTCAGCAGTTAATGAAGTCACTCGCAAGACGCCATCCCCTGGGGAAAAGCACTGCTATGAATAGACCTGTTACTTGCGTCTCTGGTTGCAATGCTCTCGGTGATTCTTCTGCTGTGCCACCATCTCTGATGATTGGGCCGTTTTGGAACAATGGTCTTTCACTCCAGAACTACTGCTGTTTAGGATGCCAAAAAACAGTCCTTTTCCTTCCTGCAGAATTGCAGAGCTCAGTGAGTGCTTCTGTGCTGTCCCCAGTGACAGATGCAGGTACTGAGGTACTACAGGCTTACCAAAAATGTGCAGAAAGTGAATGAGTAACCTTACTGCATCAAGTACTTTTTATAATAGTTCACACTGAACGTCATCATCAATGCACATTCTATAATAAGGAAGAAAAAATAAAGCTTTTTTTTCTGAGAACAAAATATTTCCATGCTACTGAAATGGAAAGGGAAACTGCTAATCTAATGAGAAGTATTAGAGAACATCACCTATTTGCCCACCTGAGTTTGCATGTCTATGTATGATCAAACTTGCACTTATAAGGAGTTGTGTGACAGAGGTGAGATATGAAAGAAGTAAAGACGGCAAGAATAAAGCCATATAAAGAACGATGAATCATTATAATATATTGTCTAAAGTATGTAAGATCATGTAAATACTTATCACAATTTGTAGGGCATACAGTCCTTGTTAGTGCCAGCAAAGTCAAGGACTCCTCAATGCAGTAGGTCACTTTAGTGACTGAGTTGCGTGGTTGAGACCTAACCCAAAATAATTTTACAGTTAAACACCTTTGTAAGAAATTTTAGCTAACAATTCTGATAAATGGTCAAAAAGAAAAGAACTGAGTGAAGTAGCATTCAATTTGAACATTACCTGTTCTGTCTTTGGGAGATGTGGGGGACAACTTTTTTTCAAACGTTTTTTTTTTGTTTACATACACAGAATTTTTTGTCAGACTTGATGGTCTTAACAGGCTCACCCCAAATCATGTTGTCAAAATTTTAGTTCTCAGAAAGCTATGGTGAAATCTTCAGCAAAATATAAATGTAGATTTTTCTGCATCATGATAAATGTTTGAACTGTTTCTACATGAACAGAGTTAAAGTTGTTGCCTCATACAAACCCTTGTTCAGGTGCCTCATCCTCCTGCTTATATAAAAACAAAACAAAAAATCCCCTTGTTACTCATGCTTTTCATATTAATTCTGCATGGCTGAATACGTTTGAGTGATTCATGACCTATGTTAAAATTTAACATCAGACTTTAATGTGTTTGGCCTGACACATGGTGTGTCTTATAATATTGATATATCTCATCGACCTAGCAATCTGCATCAGCTTGCTGAAGCATGCCATGAAAGGAAAATGATACAGTAGTCCTGATCTACTTCTCTGTCAAAGTTTTAATTAAAACATTCACACTATCTGTTAAGAGTGAAGAGTCTTGGGGAAATTCATAAGATGCCTGTCCTGTCATTAATAACATTTAATTTTGAAAGTTTAGGAAGATAGGAATGTGCCTCTTAAATCAAACTCCTATGACCTGGTCAGCATCTCAAGTGGTATCCGGAATGCTCATCCGAGTGCATGGGTACAGAGGCGCAAACCTGAGGCCAGGTTTCTCCTTCGGGGTTTGTTCCCCACTGCTGGCACCCAGACAGCCTGAAGGCTGTGACAAGGCAATACTCAGCCATCTGCAGGCTCGTCAGCTGGGAGGTAGAGCCTGATCAAAATGAGGTTTCATTTAGAGCCAGCTGCCCCTGAAATGAGGCCCTACTAGACAACCTAGGAATGGCACTTGTATGATGAAGCCTCCTGGCTGTGCCTGCAGAGGTGTCTTAATAAGGTTATATAGAGATTGCTTTTTCTTCCCTTAGCAGAACTGTCTAGAGAGTAGGACTGCAAATGCTGCTGTCTCTCCCCAGGGCAGAAAACCTACTTGTAACAAAGAACCTTATTATCCCTAGAAGATGCTTCTTGCCCCCTTCAGTCCCACAGTGCCATGCTAGCAGCAATTCATCTCATCCAGTAGATGAGATGAATATTAAAACCACAGTCAATACCTCAAATGGTTGTTTAAAATCAGCTTCAGCAAGCTTTGCTCCCTCACTGACCTTTTCCTGGCTTCCACATCTCTTGTGCTTGGCTGTCCTCCATCCAGGTTTTCAGGCTTAGATTTGGAAGTCCCCTCTTCCCAATATTGGACTGTTATTTTTCTGGCAATATTTACCTGTTGTCCTAGTAGAATTAAATCAAGGCCTCTGTGATGCCTGTGCTGTTATTCAGAGTATTAGTAGACATTATAAACGGACAGAGATCGTCAGATTTCTCCTGCAAGTGCCGTACTAAGGAATTTCATCACCCAGGAAGGCTGCCCAGGTTGGAGCTTGTGATGCTCTGCCTGACTCTGAGGCTGGACCAACTCTGATTGCAAGGGAGGAGCAACTTCTTCCAAGGAACAGTCTTCCTCAAGAATTACTATAACAACAGAAGAAGCACAGTACCAGGATCATAAAGAAAACTATAAACTATGAAGACTATGAACTTAGAAGTATTTAAGCAAAAGGCCAAGTCTTGAAAAATTCATTAATATGTAAGTTCAGAAGCATGAGCTAAATCAAACTATCATTGCTCAACACACAAGTATAGCAAATAAACCTAAGAGGGGGTTTTTGAAGCAGCAGGGGAAGAAAAGAAAATATTCCTGTAAAAGTGGTAAGGATGAATCAGATGGTAACACATAAGAACATAAATACGAGTTCAGGATGGATGAAGGAAAATAAGCTTTATTACTCCATGTGAGCAAACTGATGATGAAGGACACCTAGTAAAAATGAATGTTTTTATCAGTAATGTGACTGCACAGGCATCGTGAGTAGTTGTGTGTCAGCACACTCTGAATAAATAACTACAGTGGTTTTGTTTGCATTTGTATATGTTTAAAACCATAAATATTGCTTAGCTTTCCCAAAATGAGACAGAAAATGATGACATCATGAGAAAATAATAAACGTACACTTTACACAAGATGACATTAGCATATTTAGTCCACTGCTGGCATTATTTATTAGATAATCTTGTTTGAAATTGTTACCATGATTTTGAATTGTAGGCCACGTACTCATCCCCTTCTATTATCAGGCTAATGTGACTCAGGTAGAAGAGGGTGTTTGTGTTTTTCTTACATGTAAGAAAGTTCATACACTACAGAGCATGAGAGGAACTTCCCTACCTTCAAATGTCCAGAAAGACAGCTGAAAAATAAAATGAACAAACAATATGTTGGATTGACTTTTTTTCTGGCCCAGATTTCTTCTGTGTAGCAGTAAGCACCTGATGTGCCCAAGTTAGGAACCAGTTTGCTCTTGACTGTTTCTATAGAAAACGTGTTGGCCCAAGACCTATGTTTTCTGTTCCCTGGAGGTTTGCTTATAACCACATCTGTGGCTTGGCACAGTCCCTGGGTGCAACCATAGCACCAGTGTTTGACCTGTTTGAATTTTTCCTTGGTCTCTCCTGTTGCTCTCAGACATTACTGAGCACAGCCCTCATTCTCTGATGTAAAAGGGCATTCAGATGCCTCTTCCAAATTAACTTTAACTCGTTAACCTCTTTATCATTATGTATATTTTTCATGCAGCTTTTGGATTTTGTAGTGACCTTATGGTAGTAAGGCACTCCAACATCTCTCATGATTAGGGTGAGTAGGGTCTTGTTCTAATTGAGAGACTCTCATCCACCAGACCAGTATCTTACTGTAAATCAAAAGCAAGAATAACGTTGGCAAGAATCATATCATAACTGACTGAACTATAATGAATAACTGACAGCTATGACTCAACGTCTGCATTTCTTCCCTAACAAAACACCATATTGTAGACTGGCTTTGAATAGGTTTTCCACGTAGTTTCAGGTAACTGAGATTAACTCCCAATGACTAAAATATCTCCAGGAGAACTGATGAGACATCTCACACAGTAACTCAAGTTCAAAACTATTTCAAGCTTTCACTTTATCTCTTTCATTCAAAAATACATTTATTTTAACTGAAGCTATTTTAAAACTGCCCCATAAATATAAAGTCAACAGTACTACTGCAGCATAATTGCAAGCTAAAATGATTGTATTCCAGGCAGGCACACACACAGTATATGTGTGCTGTGTTATTATTTATTCCGTGTATAAAACAAAAGCCATTTTAATATCTGTGGCAATGCAGTCATCTCTGGGATGAAATATAGCTTTGTGCCAGCTCACACTG